TGAGCAGAGGGGGTGTGAGCCTGTGCCGTTCTTCTGGGTTCAAGGAAAGAATGAGAGTTGGCTTTGAGGAGAAGGCCCGTGCTGAGGGGCACAAGATGAAACTCTGAGACCTGCAGGAGTGTGGCCCACCGCAAACTGGAAATGACCCAGCCCACTCCCTTGGGCCTCCCGGGTGGGGCTGTGGCCAATTGTAGATGGCTCCTTTGTTGGGGAAGAAGGAGTCTGGGTAGCAGCTGGGTACCAGCCCCTGGGCTGGTGCCAGGACCGGGTCCTTGGGCGGGGCAGAGGGCTACATTTGTGGGAGTGGGGTGGCTTTTCTTGCTTCTGGCTGATGGGACTAAGGAGACTGGGAAAGGGGACAGGCCTCAGGGAGGGCGAGGGGAGGTGGCAAAGGAGCTGCCGAGGCCCAGTGCATCAGGGGAGCTGAAGCAAGCTGGAACCAGGGACCGGCAGCCTTGTGCGTTTAAGATGGTAATTTGCAGATGGTTCCTGGTAGCTACAGGGTCTCTGAGGCGGAGCCTGGGTCTTCGCGTAGGATCCGCCAGCCCGGGTTCCCCCGCAGGTCAGAGGAGCCTTGGGGCGGGGCCAAGGTTGGCCCCTGCTTGGGAGGAGCCGGGATGCCTCTCTCGTGGTGATGCAGAAGGGAATTTGCTGACACTCCCTTGCCAGGTGGGGCTGGCTTCGCCCGGCCGGCGAAGAGGAGGACCCGCTGGCAGTCTCCTCCCAGGTGGGGAGCGTGGAGCTTGTCACCGCAGCCTGGCGGCCTGAGCGCCGCGCCTGGGGCTGGGGCCGCTGTGCTGAGGACGCAGATGTGGTGAGCACGCGACGCGGGTGCAGTGACCCGGGCTGGTCGGGCCGGGAAGAAGGGGCGCAGGATCCAGGTCCCGCACGGGGAGGGGGCGGGGAAGGATTGCTTGTTTCTGTGCTTTCTGAGACCTTGCATTCGGAGGGATGGGGGTAGGGGAGACTGCGCCACAGTCCCTTGCCACGCTGGCTGTCTCTAGCTTGTACCCAGGAAAGAGTGGCCTGAGCCGCCCACCCGGGAGGGCGTGGCGTTAGTAGACCGGTCTTCACTGGGTGGGGGGATGGAGGTGGGTAGGAGATTTGCTTGCGGGGTCCCCGGCCTCTTGCTTGACAGCCAGGTGGGAGTTACCGCTCTGGGCTACCCTCTCCCCCACCCAGGGATTCCCCGGGGCTCTGCCGCCCACTCTCTGGGCTGGGACGGGAGGGGGCAATCTGCTCCGCCGTTATGGGTTATGACAACGTCACTGCTGCGCTGCTGCCGGGCTGGCTGGGCTTCTGGTCCCCCAGGGGAACAATGCCACCCTTTCCTCATGTGCTTCCAAAGAAAGGCTCTTGCCTCCCTACTCGCCCTGGCCTTGAGAGAGAAACATTGTGTTTGGATGAAGGCCCTAGGGAAACTGAGGCCCAGGGGTGTTGTGGCTTGACGAAGGTCACTGAGCAGGCCCTACAGAGCTGGCCTCCCAGGCACTGCCTTCACCGAATGCTCTCTGGAGGGGCAGGGGCCCTTCTTCCTCTCTAGACCCTGGGGCCTCCCCCGACCCCAGCACCACATTTCCTCATCCCTGAGAATGCCAGGAGTTGCAACTTCTGCATGGGGCTCCAGGGTATCATGGGTGTAAGCAGGAATTAGATTGTCTGGGACAGCAGAAAATTGCTCGTGAAAAACACTCATCTGAGCAGAGGGGGTGTGAGCCTGTGCCGTTCTTCTGGGTTCAAGGAAAGAATGAGAGTTGGCTTTGAGGAGAAGGCCCGTGCTGAGGGGCACAAGGAGATGAACTTTCCCCTTCAACAGCCTGCAGCACTCCAAGAAGACGTGGTTTCCCTCAAGAAGGGTCCGTCTCTTAGCACCACCCTCTGTGATCACCTCATCCTTGTTCTCTCTCTGGCCCCTGTCCCTGGGAGAAATGGGCTACATTCCATCTATTGCCCTCAGAAGTGAACTTTCCCCTCAGAAGTGAATTCACCTTTTTCTTCTCCCGGGGACAGATGACTTTCCCTGGAGGGAAACTGAGGCAAGGAGAGAGTGACATTTTAGAGCTGGAGCCAGATGAGGAAACTGAGGCACGGAGGGTGGAGTGAGTTCTGCAGGTCTCTTACCTACATGCAGGTCTCCTGACTCCCCAGCCACCAAAGGGCAGACTGGAGGGGCCTCTTCCTGTCTTCTCTTTGCACCCCACAGTCCCAGCACTGAGAAGCTGAGGCTGCGAAGGGCCTCCTGACGGGTGTGGAGGTCGATGACAGGGGACAGCACCGGCATTTTCTCCTTCTTCAAGATATGTTTTTTAGTTTCTTGGGAAGGAAGCAGCTTGAAGAGGGGAAATGAAGTCCCTTGGTTACCTTCCCATCATGCCCCCACAGGGGTACACAATTTCTGTAGGCCTGTCGGAGCCAAAAACAGGCATCCCTCCTGCCCAAGTGCCAACAGCTGTGAGCATAGCTGGCTGGGGAGTGGGGATCCACAGGTAGAGGGACTTCAGTTATCTCCCTGACAGCATCTCCGGATGGGGGGTTTGGGCCAGCACCTGTTTGCCCCAAGTGAAAGGAGTTGCCATGTGCCTGGCTCATGAATTGCTCCTTTTCAGATACCCTCTGAGCACAGCACCCCTGAAGCTGGCCCCTGCTGGCTTCACAGGAGCCTTGGGTTGCATGATGACCACCAGGAGCTGCTGGGGTGACCCTGTGGGAAGGAATGGGGTTCCCAGTAAACCAGATGGGAGCCAGCTGCTTGTGGGATGACTGTATAGTGTCAGAGAGGAGAGGGCCTACCATACTGGAGGGAAACTACACGATATGTGTCCCTCCCAGCTAGCAGAGAAAGGGTCAGGCCTCAGAGAGGCTCCCTGGTGAGAACCAGACTTAAAGAGCAGAGAGCCTGGACCAAACGCCTCTATTGGCTGGCACTCTGCCCTCAACTTCTCTACCTGATAGCTAGACATGAAAACACCTTCTCCAGACGGGTGGGAGGGCTTTGGAAACTTGTCAAGTGTTTGTTACAGATGGGAAGTAGTATTCCTGGAGTCTCTGGTCTAGGTGGAAGCCATCTGTTTCCTGCCTCGATGGCGGAAACATGGTTGTTTCTTCTTCAGAGGATGCCCTCTCCCTCTGTGGCCAGCCTAGAACACCCTTCTAGGCTGGGAAGGCAGGTCAGCCCTCCCCAGCCCACTTCAAGTAGTGCTTGGGGCCTTGAGGAGTTTCCTTCCCCTATCCCCAGCTGCCCATTACATTTAACATATTTAACAGGATGTTCACCCCTGTAAAATGAGGGTGTCTAGTGGCACAGTGGAGCTTCCTACAGGCCTGTACCTTCTCCACTGCCTCGACTCTCAAATCCCACGAACTCTGCTCTGATTCTTCCTGGGAAGCGGCGGGTGGAAGAACCATAAAGATAATGGGCATAAAGTGCTGGGAGCTGTTTGCACAGAGCGTCCAGTTTGCAGGAACCCACGTGGTGCTCAGGCCATGGGCAGGCTTACACTGGGAAAGGCTGTAATGAAAGTGCTCAGCGGAAGTGCTCAGCTTCCAGTGAGATCAGCAGCTTTTAGTGCCCTGTTTTGTCTGAGGTGGGGCCCCGATGCTCACTCTTCTTTCCTCTCGTGGGAGAGCAGTGGTTTTCACAGCTTACACATCAGCATGGGTGGTGTAAATGGAACTCCACATTCTTGCCCATGAGTTGGCTGGTGCAACTCCTGCAAGGTAGGGTTACAGGAGGAGCTGAGATGAGAATGTGGGCAGCTCATGAAGTATGGTGTGTCCTTGCTCTAGATCTGTCTGCATTGCTCAGGCCCAACCGAGGGTGGCTCTTAAGAAGAACAACGTGTGGCCAGTACTCCATGTTCTGTGTTTCTAGGGCAGGATATGTACTCAAGCTGCCACATTCCTTGCCAGCACCCCTGGGACTGGTGCTGAGACATGCAGAGGCAGAGTGGGCGGGGAAGGGGTGCCTCATTGTCACCTCCTCCCTCCTTCTAGTCATTAGGAATGCTTCCCAAAGGGAAACTAAAGCCTAGATCTGCTTAGAAAGGCGGGACTAGGACCCAAGTGTCCTGGGCTCCCACCTTCTGCTTTTCACAGCCTTCCACTCTGCCGTTTGACGCGAGCACCCTGAAGATGAGATGGGAAGAGCTGGGCTGGAGGTGAGTGAGTCATGCCCAGCCCTGTGCCTGTAGACCTTCATTCCTGCCAAGCCAGGGCCTCTGGTG